CGTAATTCACACGCCGAATATTTCCGCCGACTGTTTTCTACCTTAATTTTATACGCCAAAGCGTGTGATGTTCTTACGCCAAAGACCTAAACGGCTAAACTGACGAAGTCTATTAAGTCTACGAATTTAACAATTAACATTGTAGCCCCCCCCCCCGAACAAAATATGAAAATACACTACGTATTGTAGTATACATAACATAATTATCTGTAAACTACAATACATTGACAATGTCAAAAGTACATGAAGTATAAACCATGTTCTACAGTTGGATCAAAGTACATGCTGTTCTTCCATTTTCAAAAAACAATTTCCTTCCAACCGTTCAAAATTTCCTTATTTTTGAAAAAATTTCCTTGCAATAAAAATGATTGAATTTTACCTAATTTAAAACTGATTTTATAGTAATTTCTGTAATTTATCTCGAATAACAGGGTATTTCTTGTTCTAGAAGAAACATAGACGTTACAGGGGCTGATTTATCAAAGGGGAGAGACAAAGTGTTTACATAGTACCACCTGATAGTAACGATATGTCTGATCTTAGATCCTTTGCTGATAACCTATTTCCTAGTTACGACAAGATTATTATTGCCGGGGATTTTAACCTCCCAAATATCTCTTGGACAGATGGTAACTATACATCGTTTGGTTCATTGAGTCAGAATTTCTGCGATATTTTGGACGATTACTTCATGTCGCAACTTTGCCTTACGCCTACGAGAGAATCAAATATTCTGGATCTACTGATTACAAACCAACCTGAACAAGTATCATTTATAGACATCTGCTCTCCAACGGATTTAGGAATGTCTTCTGATCATAAAATTATACAGTTTAAATTTTTCTTCGCATCTAAAACCATTCAATCTAATAAACGTTTGGTCTACGATTACAGACGAGCCAACTTTGACGGCCTGCGAAAACGTTTAATAGACATCTTGCATCATATTCGTAAAAAGGTTACTGCCCGTAAGAGATTCCTTAGCCGTGGAACTGATTATCTTAAGGCGAAGTTTAACAAACTGAGAGCTGAAGTTAAAAAAATGATTCAAAATAGCAGAGAGTCATTTTTCTCGTCATTAGGAAACACTATACAAATCAACCCAAAACGTTTTTGGTCGGTTTTCAAAATCAAGTCAAGTTCTGGAAATATACCCAACTCCGTCACAAGGTCGGATACCAACAATCCTGGGACTAGATTACATGCTAACACACCACACGACATTGCAACAATGTTTAACGAGTACTTTCATTCTGTCTACACATGTTTCTCTGACCAACCCCCGCCATCTCAATCTGGTTCATCATCTCCTTTATCCAGCATCTCATCCATTGACCTCTCTCTAGAAGAAGTATATCAAGCCTTACTGAACTTAGATCCTTCTAAGGCTCATGGTCCTGACGGGTTTCCTTCCCGCATTTTAAAGGAATGTGCCCTCCAATTAGCACCTTCACTTCATTACTTGTTTTCAAAGTCACTCCGTTTATCGCAGTTTCCCACCGAATGGAAATTAGCTAATATAATTCCTCTACTCAAGAAAGGAAACAAAGATCACGTTGAAAACTACCGTCCCATTTCTCTGTTGTGTATCATAAGCAAGACTCTTGAACGTTGTGTCCTCAACCATTTATCGCACCGTATACAGTCCAACATTCATTCGGCGCAGTATGGTTTCGTCAACGGAAGATCAAGTACAGCTCAGTTATTGTCAATTTTAAACACTATTGGGAAAAACTTGGATCAGGGTTTACAAACTGATGTTGTTTTCATGGATATTTGTAAGGCCTTCGATAGCGTTGACCATTCCATACTTTTACAAAAACTTCACGATTTCGGCTTCTCTGGTTCTCTCTTGCTATGGTTTCAAAACTATTTATCAGGTCGCTTCCAACGGGTAACTGTACACGGCGCTACGTCTACGTCTCTGCCAATCACATCTGGAGTCCCACAAGGATCGTTGCTGGGTCCCTTTCTCTTCTCAGTGTACATCAATGACTTACCTAACAACATATCCACTTCCACTGGGGTCGGTTTGTTTGCTGACGATACCAAACTTTACAGATGTGTGCAGAATCCCTGTGATGCATTGGTCTTGCAAGATGATATTCAAGGCCTACTTTGTTGGTCGATAGAAAACCGGCTACGCTTTAACCAATCTAAGTGTAAAGTGCTGTCAATAACCAGAAAGAAATCGCCTTTATTTTATCCCTATAAGCTTGACAATGATCAGTTGTTGGTTTCCGACGCACAGGCTGATCTGGGTATCACCATTAGTCATAAGCTATTATGGAACGATCAAGTAAATAAAGTACGGTCGAAAGCCAACCAAATGCTCGGGCTAATTAGACGATCTACCGCGGAGATGACTGTTATCAACGCGAGGAGGCTTCTGTATCTACAACTCGTACGCAGCAATTTTAGTTATGCATTTCAAGTATGGTGCCCACAATCCATTAAGTTAATCGAAGACATCGAGAAGGTGCAGAGAAGAGCAACGAAATGCATCTTAAATCTTGGGTTTACCACCGATGTCTCGTACATAACCAGATTACATCAACTGGAGTTACTACCAATAACTTATTGGCATGAATATTTGGACATGGTTTTACTCTATAAGTTAATTAACAACTATACCTATATTGATGAGAGTGCTCTACCAATAATAGCTGAATCAGGAAAAACCAGACGTGAAACCAATGATAACGTGATTAGATTTGTAATACCCTTTGCTAAAACTGTAACATACCAGTCTTCATATCTTATTAGAGCGTGTAAAACGTGGAACGTTTTAAATAGTGACCTCCGTAATAGAGATATTGGCCTGCAAGCTTTCAAATCTGGACTAAAGACGTACTACAAATACGCGCTATCTAATATTTATAACTATGACGATCCGCGAACTTGGAAATCTGTGTGCGTTAAATGTAAAAGGGCTAGGTCCCTTGATGGTGTTTTAAGTTGTTGTTAGTTGTCTCTTGCACCGATTGTATTTTGTCTTAAATTAGTTCGTTCCGACTGTTAAAATTATTGTAAACGTAAAGTTAATTATGGGGTCGCCGTAATTGGGGAAACTGTGGCGAACTCCCTGGCGTTGTATTAGCCGAATCTAATTAAATCATTAAATCATTAAATCATAGATTAACACGAAGGAGAATAACCAGGGGGGTCTGGGGGTCCTCTCCCAGAAAATTTTCAGATTTTGCATCTCGTAGGACAGGATTCTCAGCATATTTTGAAGCACATTTCCTTGGCAATTGCCGTATTCTTAGGTTTTTTTAGAAATAAGGCAATTTCCTTCACATTTCCTTCAGATTCGAATTTCCTTATAATTTCCTTCAACTAGTTAAAATTGTCTTCAAAAAGGAAATTTTCTTCAAAATGGAAGCCCTGGAGTAATGACATAACGATCGAGCGCAAAATTCGAATCGTGTTATTAAATCACCGTGTCCGTGTGTTAATAATAAATAAAGGATTAAAAGAAACTTTCATTCAATTCTTAATTTCCCTAATCCTTATACATTTTACATTTACGTGTTGTGAAGTTGGATTAAAGTACATATTTTAGACTTTTACGCCAACTACTTTTGAGATGATCTGTTCACGCCACGCCAGTTTGATATGGCCAAATAAACAGGCAAAATTACGCCAATTTTGGCGTAGTCGACTAAATTATACGCCGAATATATTCGGCGTAACATACGAACTTTCCAGTATGGAAAAGTCGGCATATTTTCAGGTATAATTGTATTTTTCAACATATACTTCTTGAAAATACATTACCTTGTCCTCGAGTGCCGTGGTTTTGTATTTGAACTAACGGAAAAAACGAAAACACTTTGACTGACAATCTGAGGAGTAGTCATGCATATATAGGCTTCGCGTTTGTCAAACGAAGTGACTATATGACCGGCAGCCGGTCACGGTTTATCAAATACTAAATGGCCGGCAGTCTAGTGACTATTGTTAAAGTTGAATTTTTATAAGATAAACCTATCCCCAACCCCAAACCCTTTTCTAACCCTAACCCCTAAG